TGCTCTGTTACAATCAGTCATAAGTGCTGGGAATCAAGGAGAGAAACTTGGGGAGGCTGATGTTTGTTTTAGGAATATATAACCAAAGGCTGTAATTAAAACATAAGCTGCTGTAGGAAAAAGTGATGTTTTAAAAGATAGAAGGGCTAAGCATATAGCTCTATGGTGGAACATTTGCCTTCAATGTATAAGGTCTTAATGTCAAGAACCAATCCCAATTTAAAAAAAAAGATCAGATTTGTGCACAGAAAAATGTCATTTCTCACATCTATAGACATGAAAGAGGCAATCTCATGGCCAGAGGGGAAGACAACAGCTGGAGGGGGAAGTACAGACGGAAAGTGGTGCACAGTGGAAAGGGAACGAGTATGAGTTATAAAAGTTTGACTCTTGTGTTGCAAGCAATGGAGCTTAGGTCTGCAGCATCCATCGCAGGCTTCTAAATGACTACAAACTATGAGGTCATCACAGGGAATGGGCAATGTTAGAATGAATGGAAATGCTAATTGCTGAGACTGTGTGGGCATATATGTGTGTTTGCACATACATGTGGAGGCCATGATTCTGAGAATCTTCCTCAATTGACCTCTATCTTATTTATTGAGACGGGGTCTCACACTGACCCTGGAGCTCACTTGTTCAGATAGAATGGTAGGATGACAAGACAGAGAGCCTCCTGTCACCATTTCCCCAGTGCTGGGATAAACCATTCCACCCTGCTTTGTAGTTAAGTGTTGAGGATCAAACTGAGATACAGTCCAGGATTTTATCACTACACATTGTACACATTAATGAAAAAACAAATACATATATTATATAATGATTTTTAATACTATAATATACTCTAGTCAGAGACATTCCGTTTAAATTATATTGGCTATTGGTACATGAACATACATAAAATATTATATATAAAATATTATACTTTCCAAAAGTTTACAATGAAGATATTACATATTAAGGAAGCATTTATAAGCCCACTTAGAGTATATAATTATACACTCTATACATATTGATATTCAAAATGGGAATAAAAACAGTGGTAAAGATATATGATCAAATAGTCTTTTAAAACATATATTCAGAATGCTAGATGGAGATAACTGACCTGGACAGAGATGTTTCATCTTGATGGAGATTTTTTTAGGTAAATGGACTCTCTCAACACCTACATGTTGCTCTGTGCAAATGTGATTGCACCTCTGGATTCTAAAGATGACTGTGAGTCCTGATTGAGCTCCAAGTCTGTATCTCACCCAGAGGCATATCAGTCAACATCAATAACTTAAGCTCAACTACTTTGGGCTGGCATGACTGCAGAACTAGGGCTGACTTTGGAGTCACTGGAGACCATGTGTAAGAGAGAGGCTCCTGACATGTCAGATAACAGCCAAACCATACATGCAGGTCATATACTAGATAGGGACAAAAGCAAACGATTTTAAAGGAGAAAATGCATTTGGCAATTATGTAATTTTAAATCATTATCTATAGGAAAATTAATGTCATGAAGCCAATCTCTTAAATTTCCTTAAAACTCTGACAGTTATGGAATTGGGCAGCTTGGGAGTGAGGAAGGATCTAGGAAAAGATAAAAGAAGGGAAATAATCATCAGAGTATATTTCATGAAAGGATTATTTTCCAAAAATTTAATTGGTGAATGAATTTTTTAAAAAAACGAAATGTTATTGTCAGGAATGGTGGTATACACATTTAATCCAGTCACTAGGGAGACAGTGACAAAAATAATCTCTCATAGTTCAATACCGGATTGGTCTACACAGTGAGTGCAGGCCAACCAGAGTGACCCTATAATAAGAAAGGTAGAAACACAGTCAGCCTCTCTGACAGTTTCTGCATATGGATATGAAGCTGTGTTGTTGTGTGTGTGTGTGTGTGTGTGTGTGTGTGTGTGTGTGTGTTTGATTGTGTCACTAAGTGTAAGTGTGACTGACTCTGTATGTGTGACAGTGTGACTCTCTCTGTGTATGTGTGTGTGTGTGTGTGTGTGTGTGTGTGTGTATGTGTGTGTTTGGATGTGTAACTGTATGTGGGGCTATGGTTGCAGTTGTACAGGCCCCATATCATCCTCTCATCAGAAGACTTTGAAATTATCCTAGTGTTTTCTCTATAGATGTGACCAACATCATAATCAAAAGCATCGAGAGAAGGAACCGAGTTATGTCATCTTAAATCTTACAGCCATCATGTAGGAAAATCAGGACATGAAATCAAAGCAGGAACGTGAAGGTGGGAACTAAATCAGGAACCATGAAGGAACTCTGCTTACTGGCTTGCACTCCATGGTTTTTCAGCATGCTTTCTTATACAACCCAGGAGCACCTTCCCATGGATGCCACCACCATGTCTTCCTGAACCCTACCATGTCAATCATTGATCAAGAACATGACCCCACAGTCGTTCTCACAGAACAACCTGATGGAGGCCTTGTTATTCAGCTGAGGTTCCTTGTTCCCTGATGACCTAGTTTGTATTATGTTGATGAAATTCTAACCACAACACAAATGTACAACAGGATGCTGTCATGAAAACATGACCCATTAAGTGAGTATCCCTGCATCCACCAGACATAAGTAAACAAATGACTGAACAAACACTTAGGAATAAGAACCCACCTCTCGCCGGGCGGTGGTGGCGCACGCCTTTAATCCCAGCACTCGGGAGGCAGAGCCAGGCGGATCTCTGTGAGTTCGAGGCCAGCCTGGGCTACCAAGTGAGTTCCAGGAGAGGCGCAAAGCTACACAGAGAAACCCTGTCTCGAAAAACCAAAAAAAAAAAAAAAAAAAAAAAAAAAAGAACCCACCTCTCAAAGAGGATATAATTATAAATAATGGGTGGATTTATCATGAACTCTTTCCCTTTGTAAATAACTTTTGCTTAGTAAATTTCTTTATGGAACTCATGGAAAAGGGAAACCCAAGGAGCAAGGGAGTACAGAATATGAGTACAAACCATCTCTGAAGTCACCAAAGACAAAAACACTTGAATAACGAGACTTATGACAAGTTCTCTAATATAGTATAAGAGATGTACATTTATTTCTGTAATACTTCTTCGCAAATTTTGTTATCACAATGAAAATATCAGAAAAACCTATGATGAGACATAGTGAGAATAGTGTCTGAAAAATTCTAACACTCAGAGCATCAGGAACAGGAGGAACTCAGTACTCACAGTGTGGGTGACCATCAGAGCTTGCACAGGATGGCTGACTCCCTAAGGTTAAGACCTGCCTCTACTACTGCCACTCTGAGTACATAGGTTATGCACTCAGAAATAAGGGACACAAAATGTGAGATCTCCAATACCAAGACAGACATTCTCTGACTGCTGACTGAACAGGTGTGCTCCAGCTCTAAACTTCATTTCCCCTGTGATGTACATTAACAAGGAATGGAGGAAAGCACTACATACTCATGTTCTCTATGATGATCAACACCTCAAGGCACAGGGTCCCCATGTTCATGTCTGCCGTCTTCTCTACTTCTTGTAGGGAAACAGTTTCTCTTGTATTGGTGAAATTAAGGCCACTCCACGTAGTTAAAAGGAGATTTATTTAATGGCATAACTTACAAATTAAGGGATAGGTAGGTCGCAGGGTCTGGGGAAGGTGTATCGCAGTCCAGCGGTGTTCTCTGGAGCTCTGTTTGGCCCACCTCCACCATCCAGGGTTCCGGAACAGAGAGAGAGCGCTGGCCCATCCAGATCTCGGGTCTCCAGGCGCCTCCCTTGGCCCCGCTTTGTAGGCATGACAGTTGCCAAAGTCTCAATGGGGGTTGGAACTTCCAGATCAAAGCTGGAATGGCTACCCACTACACTCTGGCTTATTTTTTACTTTAGTTAACATAAACCTCAATTCTAGTTGCACACTATAGTGTTTTATGAAGTTTCATGAACAGCTGAACTTCCTATCACTTACCAATGTGATAATCATATTTAGAAACCTGGAATTTTCTATGTTACATGCTAAAAAAGAGATATAAAGTACACAGAGAAAGATAGACCAGCATAAGTCAAGAGGCACTAAAATCTAATCTCCAAGTATGGTGTTTCCATGTGAGAAGGTGAATAGGTTGCAAAAAGACTCTAGGGTCTCTGTGGGGCATTTACCCACCAACCCCACAGCTTCCCAGAGTTTTCTTGAGTGCGAGCAGCAGGAAATATTAGATCGAAGGGTTTATTGTGGAGAATCTTGCAGAGATAAACAGATAGAAACCAACGGGCCCTGACTGTCTCTGCCCCAGGGTTTTTATAGAGGCGCCAAGGGGTGGAGCAAAAGACCTCCTCCCCCAGCACAGCCAAGTGCAGACCATCTCAGACACCTGCACTCAGGTCCGTGGTCCTAATCATCCTCTATGCGGACCTGCTGGGTAAAGCCACGAGGAACCCCAGAATGGGCTCCCACAGGTCTCCTCACAGATAAACACACGAAATCACATGTAATAATGTTAGTGAGCTGCTTTCTCACAAATTATTTCCTATATGGATGATGAGAATAAGACAATTCCACTGACACCAAAACAATAAATTCTTAGTTGTCCCTTAAGCAGGGTTTCTGATCACTAAGAGGCCCAACTCCATTCTGAATCCACTTCAGGAATTTATAGAGATGTACAAATGCATTTAGGACATGGTACCCAGTTCTGCCTGCACTGTGTGAATGGGGATTCACTTAGTATAAACACTCTCATGATTTGCTTGTCAGGTCTGCCCAGTGTGATTCATACTATTTCCCATTTCTCAGGGATTGGAAATCCAGAAAATAACAGGAAAATGTTCCTGAGTTTCCATCTCCAGTCCACCTAGGAAGCACAGTGCAAATCTCAGTCACCTGAGGGAAGAGTGGAAGCCTTGCCCTGTGCTCTCTTTTATCCTCTCAGGAACCTCCCCCAATGCAAAGCAGCCCTCAGGCTCAGGATGAAAGCCCAGGCCCAGCTGAGAAGCCCCATCTCCTTCTCACTAGAGCCTCCAGCAGAGCATGGCTGTCCTGGTGCTGCTCCTCTGCCTGGTGACCTTTCCAAGCTGTAAGTGGGTCAGGGCTTCAGGAGAGGGACCCAGGCATGTCATGTATGGGACGTATGACTGATGGTGATGTTGTTTGTCCCCAGGTGCCCTGTCCCAGGTGCAGCTGAAGGAGTCAGGAACTGGCCTGGTGCAGCCCTCACAGACCCTGTCTCTCACCTGCACTGTCTCTGGGTTCTCATTAACTGACAACAGTGTACACTGGGTCCGCCAGCCTCCAGGAAAGGGTCTGGAGTGGGTGGGAGCAATGTGGTATCATGGAGGCACAGAGTATAATTCAGCTCTCAAATCCCGAGTCAGCATCAGCAGGGACACCTCCAAGAGCCAAGTTTTCTTAAAACTGAACAATCTGCAAACTGAGGACACAGCCACTTATTACTGTACCAGAGACACAGTGAGGGAGCTCCAGCGTGAGCCTGCACAGAAACCTCCCTACAGAGACACTCAGGACCAGCAGGGGGCACTGATGACCAACAGAGGCTTCCCAGGAGGAGTAGGAGTCACTGCAGAATCTAGGAAGTTCTGGACTATTCAGCATGAGCACATGTTTTAATTTTAGATCCTGCAGATTCCCCTCCAGCCAAGGAAATCCTCCAGAGGACTTTCTCCATGTCATATTCTATTAAACATCCTATTTGTTCATACATTAGAACAAATCGTTTTCCCCACAAACCCTCTAAGTTATCCTGTTGCTTCTTGTTAGCCCAGAGAATGACACATAGTTTTATACATTCCACATATATATAAACATATATTTATACATTTCTTTATATATGCAGATATTTGAAAAGGATGAAACAGTGCTGACATGTGTTGACTGTTAAGTTCAGTAAGTAATCTTGGGAAATTTTAAAAATCTTTAATTCATCCTCTTTAGTTTTGCACTTGCAGTAGAGAAACCACAGCTTCCCTGACCTAATGTCATTTTCCAAAGACACCATGGAAACATTAATATTCATGGTTTCCTTTTTCTAAGAACCACAGAAAAGTTTACACTTGGTTATCATTTTTGACAGATCCCATTTTACACATTTATATCTTTAGAAAGTAAGTTTTCTCTCAAAGTCCTAAGCTATGATTCCTCTACATGCTGAATGTTCTGTTTTTGTTTTGGGGGATAACTCATAAAATCTACTCTCTCCATATATAAAGAACAGGATACGTAGTTATTAGCTGTGGTCACATCCCTACAAATCACTATTTGGGACAATTCCTACCATCTAACTAATTAATCTTCACACCTTCATTGTCCAAACCAGGAATACCCTGCCATAGTTTTACTTTACCTGAGATCCGTTTCCTAGGTTACACTTGATAAGAGGTCCTTTCATTCTCTTGGTGCCTGGCTGTCATTTACAAAATGCCCTCTAGATTCATCCAGCTCAATGTGGTAAGTAGACGCTTGTGAAGAGAGCTACAGAAAACATGAGAACAAAGTTTGATTACTCATCCAGGTGCTGGGGAAACAACTGGGTATTTATGTTCAGTTCCTGACACACACAATTAGTAGCTCATAACCACCTGTAAGCACAGAGGACCCATGCTCCATTTGTCTCCATGAGCACTAAACTACCCACACAGCAAAATATACACATAATTAAAAATAAAGTATGTCTTTAATTTTTTCACATCCAGCACAGGAGGCATTATAATTTAAGAGTATTTGAGTAGTATAAATGAGGCCTTGATTCAAATGTTAATATTTGAAAAACACATTCCTCCTTTTGATTGATTAATAGTATGTTTGAAACATCACTACTCTCTGTTAAAGGTTAGGACATTGTCTCATTCAAGAAATCAGCCTCATTTTTCTTCTCAAGGGCAACTCATTTCTATCACTTAAAATGAGTCAGAAGGATAACAGATATCTCAGGGAACATGGAGTTAAGAGATGATTTCCTCATGAACAGACATTGTCCTGCACTCCATTCCCTAGTTGGGCTCCTTCATCTCGACCAATCCACGTAGGAAGAAAAGGTTGCATAAGGCCTCTTAAAAGGTCTTATTAACAAAAACAAACCTGGAGCCAGGTATTGGATTGAACGCTGAAAGATCAGAGAAACAGAACAAGCCACAGCCAACCTCACTTCACAAATTCCTCAGCTGATCTTGTTTCCTTAAACCGAAAACTTCTAGTCCTCCCAAATGGATCTCAGCTAAACTGCTGCTCAAAAGTGTAAAAGATTAAAAAGCTTCTAGTTCCTGGTCCTCACACCTTATATACCTTTCTGCTTTCTGCCATCACTTCCTGGAATTAAATGTGTGTGCCTTTCCCAAGCAAGACATGAGATCTCAAGTAATGGGATTAAAGGCTTGTGTCACCATGCCTGGCTCTGTTTCTGGTGTGGCCTTGAACTCACAGAGATCCAAATGAATTCTATCTCTGGAATGCTAAGATTAAAGGCATGTGCCACCACTGGCTAACCTCTGTGTTTAATATAGTGCTGTTCTATCCTCTGACCTCAAGATATGTTTATTGGGGTACACAATATATCAAACACAGGCTACATCTGTAATCACCAGAGAAATGGATATTAAAGCCAAATGAATAAATTTTCCTTGTAACCAGAGGATTGAATGCAGTTTCCCAAAAGAGAGAATGCAATCAAGTCTTAGGATGGAGAGGAAGGGGTCCCTGTGCAATGTCCATGGGAACATGGTCCTGGTATGATATTAGCAGATATTGTGGTGGTCCCTGAGAGAATCACACACACAAGACCACCTGACCCAGCAATCTCAATGCTGGGTGAGTGGACAAAGGAAGAAGAGATGTAGGCAGGGAAGCAGGGAAGGATGGAAAGAAGGAAGGAAGGAAGGAAGGAAGGAAGGAAGGAAGGAAGGAAGGAAGGAAAGAAGGAAAGAAAGAAAGAAGGAAAGAAGGAAAGAAGGAAAGAAGGCAGAGCCAGAGGGTCATCAGGAGTGAAAGGGAAAAGAGAAAGTGTAGTGGGATGAACTAATATAATCACAGTACATCATAAACTAGCAGGGTATTTTGTTTTTAAGTAGAATGAATGACATATACTGTAAAAGAACATTCGTTCTAAATGTCATAGGATGTTAATATATGTATGCCTGTCTGTCCTTGTAGGTGTGTCTTTGGGTAGGTGTGTTTCTGTTGTAAGTCTGCTTGAGTTTATATGTCTGGGTATTTGTGTGTTTGTTTGAGAGATGTGCACTTTCTCATAATAGAAATTGTTTAGATTACAGAGGTTACCACAGCATCATTCAGCAACAAAGTCAATTTCAGGGGTCAGGTGCTCAGGGAGGCTGTGAGTAGGGGGTTGACTTCAAAGACAAGCCTCTGTAGACTGTCCAGATTCCCTTCCTGTCTAAGACCCCAGTGACTCTGAGAAAACTGCCACGGACTGGCCCATTGGGGGTACCATGACCGTAGGAGAACCAGGACTTGGGGAGTCAGGAAGGCAAGGATTTGGCGAATGACAGACAGACAACACACTCAGAAGTGGTTTGAATCTGCTGCAATTTTACTTCTGCAAATCAGTAGTTTATATACAGAAAAGAAAACTATCAAGTCATACAAGGAACAACAAGAGCTTGGCAATAATTCAGTTACATCATCTTTAAAAAAACAGCAAGCACACAATTATTAATCGGCGCTAGACATATCCCTTCACCCACAAGAACTTGATGACCCAAAGAGCAGTCTGTGTTTTTTAAACTTAGTACAGTCCCTAGACTTGTGTAGACTTCTTTGCGGTTGCGGCTGTGTTCTTCATCTTTATCTCAGCCGCTCACTAGTTTATTATGCACTTCTACTTTTCTGGTTCTCATGACCCACTTAGCCAATTTGGATGCTGCAGATCCTCCCTAAGTCTTTCTTCAGTTCTTTACCATATATCTCTTAATATAAAACCTTTTTACCTGCTGAAATATGGACTCTTGTACTTTTACTCCTGTAAGGGGAAGGGGTTCTGTTGTAGTCCTTAAGTATTCCATGCTGAACTTCCTCAACAGAGGAGCCCACCATCTGCCTCCTATGAGATAACGTTTTCTACCATAAATCACTTTAGTTGGGATTTCTAAAGGATTCCTACTGGGTGAGTGTTCATTCCCTAGAAGTGCCTGAATTATTATACTTTCTTTATCTAGCAGCTTGAAGTCTTAAAAATTAGCTCATTCTGCTATATTTAAATAAGATCCATGTCCAGCTTCCCCTTTCCTCTATAGTTCACAACCCAAGCATTCATTAATTTTGGCTGTGCTTCATATATTAATTAGAACATTCTCAGAAAAGCAGTTATACAGAACCCATAGCCCAGGGAGCTCATGATCCATGAAGCATGTCTCCTTCGAGAAGGAAGCATAACACAGGTACTCTGCCAGGGACCTCCAGGGAGCTTAATCCCGTGGGACACGTACCTCCCGTCCACTATTATTTACATAATTGTTCATGTCACATGGACGACACTGGAGTTGGTGTGGCAGAAAACCAGTGGCTGAGAAACAGAAAAGCATCCTTACCAGACTCCTGATAGGAGCCATCAGCTAGGAATGCAGTTTCTTCCTCCTTCTCCTATTTTTCCTCTCTTTTTTGTTTGTCAGTTTGGTTGGTTGATAGGATTGGTCCTCCCTACTCCTACTTTCTTGAGATTGAAGCTCAGAACACTGATCCTTTACACTTTCTTTCTCTGCTGTGTTACAATTAGTCATAAGTGCTGGGCATCAAGGAGAGGAACTTCAGGAGGTTTGTGTTTGTTTTAGGATTACATAACCCACTGCTATAATTAAAAATTATTTGCTGTATGAAAAAATGATATTTTAATAGATAGGAGGGCTAGGCATATAGTTCTATGTCAGTGTTTGCTTTCTATGTGCAAGGTCTTAACTTCAAGAACTAATCCTAATTTGAAAAAAAGATCAGGATTGGGCACAGAAAAATATCATTTTATACATTCATAGACATAGAAGAGGCAATCTCATGGGCAGATGGGGAAGAGCAATAACTAGGGTGGGAAATGCAGATGGAAAGTGGTGTTTAATGGAAAGGGAACAATTATGTAGTGAGTTACAAAAGTACTGCTCTTGTATTGCATAAGAAACAATTCAGTTTAAGTCTGCAGCATCCATGAAAGGCTTCTAACAACAAACTATGAGTTCAACACAGGGAATGGGCAATGTTTTAATGAATGGGAATGCTAATTGGTGAGACTGTGTGTGCATATGTGTATGATTGCACTTAGATGAGGAATTAACAAGTAGATTCTGAGTGTCTTCCTCCATTGTTCTTTAGCTTATTTTTTGAGACAGGGTTTCACAATGAACTTGGAGGTCATTTGTATTTTTACATGATTGAGTTACTTAATCGATTATGTTCATCATCATATTGGCAATTATAGTTTTTCATCTATAAAAACTTCTGACCTTTGTTCTAAACAGAAGTAAACCACTTACCTTAAACTCGGCTGAGCCCCAGGCTGTAGCTTTTGTAGGAACTTGGGGAATGTTATTGGGAAATGGTAGGTTCTACTTTCTGTGATTTCTTCCTCAGTCTCTTTTCATAGACTCTTAATAGCTGTGAAAGGACCTGGTTAA